ATTAGCAAAAATGATCGGAGAATATTCTTGCCCTTATTTACATAACTCTGGTAAGGCTTGTAGCAGACCCTGCATGCGATCTGAAGGGTGCCACTTTCATTGGAAGTCTAAGGTACGCGTTTTGTGTAGTGAATGTGGTAAGCCCACTAGCTCAAGTTCTGGGCGGTGTCCATTACATGTTAAAGGCTATTATGTGATCCAATATTATAACAGATTGCGTAATAAAGCTCAGAATAGATAGTGATTTTTGGTAAGACTTTTTGGTAAGACTTTTATTTTTTGGTAAGATTTTTTAATTTTGGTAAGACTTTTTGCTAAGACTTTTATTTTTTCGGTAAGATTTTTTAATTTTGGTAAGACTTTTTGGTAAGGTTTTGGTAGACATGATAAAAAGTCCTACTAAAAATCGGACAAGCCGATTTTAGATAGACTTTTTGTCCTTTGCTAGAAAGTAATGAATCACTTTTTGAATTAATTCTAGGATAACATAGAAAATAGTATGCATTTTAGGCTTGAATAGGCTCGCAGAGAAGCACACTCGGATGCTTCGGTCCTCGGTGCTTCTTTGCTCATTTAAAAGGCAAGTGAAATAGTATAATTATTTTGTTATCTTGTTTGGGATTAAAATCGTAGCCAGAGCGTTAACAAAGACTATATACTCCTTAAAGTTGGAAGCCCAAATTTAAAAGTAAGGAGAGAAAGTTAACAGGATTTGGCTCTAGCTTAATTTAGAGCTTGAATTCGATATATGATTAAATATATCTAGAAAGACTTGTAGAGGTCGTTAGAAAGGCAGGAAAGCTAGGGTTGGAATTCAGACCCCAGAACCCCCCTTTTGTCACTACTGGAAGTGTTTTATCTTTTTTATTAATAATAGTAGTAATATCAAAACCAGACATATTATCGCTTATATATTTAGCAGTTTTAGTGTTTTTGGCCTATTAGATTTGGTACAATATATATGATTAAAACCAGATTCATTTTTAGTATGAATTGGGTTATTAGATGAGTTGTATATATTTGTGAGTGATATATAAATGAGAATGGGAGAGATGCATATTGGGTTGTAGCTAGAATTGTAGACCCGAGAGGTGCAAAAAATTTCACTTGTACCATTCTCATATTCAAATTGTATCCCATATAAAAAATTAAGAAATAAGATTAAAATTATATTTTATGCGGTCCAATTGAATCACCTAATTGATTATTTTTGCGGACTGAACGAACCACCCAAGTCAAAGTACTGAGCCACCAGCAATGATGATTATGCCCTTTCGAATACACAACACACATAGTCAGAGGCCCTATCGTCAAGAGGTGAAGACTCAAGCGAAATTTTTTGTATAACTATATATACCCATAACAAGTAACCTAGGTGATTGATCTATCAACGCAATATAATCTTGTGCAAGAAAATAAAAACATATTACTTACCCAATTCATCCAGCATATCATAAAATTTTCAGATTAGATCGTAAATGATAATATAGCAACATGTTATGTGCTTATATAAATTTCGAGGTGGATACATTCAAAGCTATTTCTTATCTCGTAGCTCAGTGAACTAAACCGCGAGAAGCTCATCGGGTCTTCCTCTTCTCTCTACAAAGACTATTATAACTGACGATCATGCCCTCTAAAATTGGGTTTATAAGCAGAGAAAAAAATAAATTGTGGTGAGGTAACAGTCAGATCCCGGGCCTGCTTTAAAAAGCAATAACTACATCTGAGAAGATTATGCATAGTCAGAGGCCCTATCGCTTCTATAGTTGAAACGAAATTTTTTGCATAACTAAGTATACTCGTAACAAATAGTTATGGCAATTGTCTCATCAACACAAAACAATCTAGTGTAAGAAGATAGAATATCGGTAAAAAAATTGCTCTAAAGGGATTTTATATCAATATTATGTGGCTATGGAATAATGCTATATTCGGTTGAAAATAATTCGACATCGCAGGTATGTACTTGTTATGGTTATATTTTAACATTAGTAAATCCTTCAACAAATTATGCAAGGTCGGTTTCAAGATTACAATTATTGAACACGATAAATATCGCACGTATAACTTATTGAAAGGTATACGGGTACTGTAATAATTTTACACGCTATATTTAAGCCCGATTTACAAATTTAGAATAACCGTTATGCACTTCGTTATTTATGCATTATATATAATAATAATAACAAACCATGTTGATAGTATCGCATTTTTTTTACCCTGTGGATACATAAATACCTGTAAACATAAATGTGCGCTAGTTTAACACAACCACGTAATCAAAATAATCTCACTGTCTTATTTCGACATTGATCTGTGCTAGAAAAAAATAAGTACGTATTATGTCATACTATTATATGACTTAACGGTCCCACGGGTCCACTTTTATTTTGGTCTAGCTTGAGGCTAAAATTGCGATCACTTGATATTTGGGTTAGCGATAAAAACTTGACCGGCTTCAATAATCAATGGCCAGTATTAAAATTTATGCGGTGTTAGCTTAATTTCTCAGTCGATTTTTGATACTGCGATAAGAAAAGGCGAGGAACGTAAATTTTAAGTAAATCGATTAGATGATTCGAGCACTTTTAAGATTATGCATGGTTTGAATAAAATATGGGTAAAGTTCGGAATCAGTTTCAAAATTTCAGTGCGATACTTACCGTTACAATCGACGCATGATACTGTATGTAGCTAAGGCTGATTTGGTACTATCGTGATAATATTTAATTCCTTTATTTGAGACAACTACTGAAATATACTGTAAATTGAATGTTTATATATTTGAATTAAAAAGTAATTAATGTTAGCCTTAGCATACTCCAAAAAATATAAAATTTCCATAATATTGGCAAAAAACGTTGCACCATTTTTGTTTACATGAATGCATTTTTACATTTTCTTACTAATGCAACGCCCAGTTACTGTCTCAAATAAATAAATTAATTTGAAAATCTTTATAAACTTATTAACAAATTCTCTTGAATAATATAAACTTTTAAGATTTTTTTGGCACTTTTAGCAAGTAAATTTTATTAACTTGTCAAAATATAAATTCACAAGATTCCTCATTACATTTCGATTTTTTGTTTCTAGTAGTGCTAGGTCGAATAATGCAAAGTTAAATATCTCCTGTAAATTTTAATACTAGAGATAAAATCAAAATATAACGGAGAATCTTGAGGATTTTATTTATAGACAAGTTTATATAATACCAATTAAAATTTATTTGTATCTTTTATTAACAATTATAATCCTAAATCAGAGCCATTGTTGCGAAAAATAGCAATGTAGTGAGATTTTAGATTCGTAATTTTTTAAATATACACATTCCAAAAAATTTTACGAAAAGTTCCAACGTAGAAAACTAAACTTACATTATGAGCGTGGTCGAGTTGAAATTTTTGGGTTGTGCCTTAAATAATATAAGAATAAGTAATAGAATAGGAATAGTGTGGCTACGTAATACTCGAAACTTTTATATTACAACGCAGGATTCATAAATTATATTGCACGGATTTTATAAATTATAACTCATGGATTTATCATAGACGGATGACAATTTATAAAATCATCTGCCCCTAAAAATTTTAAAGTAATACAAAGTTAATTTTTTGCTTTATAATATAAAAAAAATTACTTAACAACCCAGCTTTAAATTTTATTTACAAATTTTACGAGTGTTGCCAAACTAAAACCTGCAAGTGAATATTCAAGTTTTCACCGTGACGAACAATTCATGCTTGTGATTCAATTACGCAACATTGGGTATTACCTAAGTTCCCATAATTAAAACTTAAATATTCACTTCCTGGTTTTAATTTGTCTGGTTACGAAAATCAATTATTTAATTGGTACGGCCTAAATTAGGTCAAAATTTAAGCATCAGATTCAGCTAACACGATAATTTATATAATCTTTTCCGTCGATACAAACTCAACAAGGTATTAATAGGATTTATAATGGCATGATTACTCAAGCGATATCAATATTCCTAATCCTATAGTCCCAACAAATAATCATAATAGTATTTTGAGGGCATTTGGGTTCTGGTTATTTGGATTTTGTTTTGATTAGTAATCAAACGCGGATTAAATGAGTTAACCTATTTATATTGACGATTAGAAATGCTAAGAATTCTTATTACAGAATCCATTCATAACGACTCCCATTAAGAATGTATTTTCCTAGATAAATTTCAGAAACGAAATAAATCTATGGTTATTAGGAGATAAAAAATTAATTAGCTTAATTATCCACACATAACTTGAAACCTTCAATATTGCTAGATCAGAACATTTAGTTTGATTGCTACCTCCATATATTAATATACTTTGGCTGTCAGACAAGTGAATTGCTGAATGAAAAATAATTAGGAGAGTGTAGCTGCTGTCTATATATACCGATCATCAAAAAATTTTCAGGGTAATAGTAATGATTTAAGTAAGAAATCTGCGAGTTGCAGCACATTTCGAAATCAGCGGTTCATAAATCTTATTTATTTGATTTGTAAGCTTATTTATATAATAACTTTTATGATCTTGAATTTTCTTTCGAGACTTGATAATATTTTTATATATATTTTAAAATGCCTTATATTTCTGATCAACAATTGCATATTAAAAATATAAAAAGTATTTTAGAAGTATTAATAGAAGAATATTCTAGTAGCACTCATAAAAAATATACTAATATTCTCGAAAAAAAAGAAACCGATGAACTGTTAAAATATTGCAAACAATTGAATTAGATTGATATCTTACTATTGCTAAAAAACTATCAAGCTATATGATTTTTTCTCAAATTCTCTTCTTTAGTGGCTTGTTTAAAAGTTTTTTGGGGGAGGCATATTATCATAATTATTGATTTTTTTTTTTTTAAGGCGGAATCTGTTCTATCCAACCCTATGATTTAAAGCTAAATTAATCTTACGTGGTAACTCCCGCCTTTCCGCATTGTCAGACTGTCTGGCACTATATTCCCCGTATTTCCTCTTTTTATTTTTTTTTATCCTTTGGAGGTGCTGGTGAAGCTTTACCTTTTCCTTTTACATTGTTAATTACGTTTGTCACTTCACCCAGCACTTTCGACCCGTCCAAGATCTTATTTACGCTTTTGGTGTCAGCCTATGAAAAAAAAAGAATATAAATAAATAAATAAATAATATTCGTGAGAACTACCATAATAAAATCAGGTCAAAAATATTATTTATATCTCTGACTTTTACGATATACTAACTCTCTTTGCTTCTATAAGACTACTGGCTTTGCTAGAAGCTTCTTCTGAATTTTCAGCAACCACTTCCAACATAGCATAAAAATCTTTAAAAACCTCTCTTCTATCTAATGTTTCTTTTGGTCATAATCCTACAAGCAACGTAGGCTTCTAGGGACTAAAGCCCGGAGGGGAGAAGACGAACGAAGTCAGTTGGGTGCATTATCAGTTATTACGAGTTATGAAGACATGTGTAAAGTTAAACAACAAATTCGACACGAGACAAGGGTAAATATCAAATCCGATTTTTTATGGTTTGTTTTGATTAAAGACGATGATTTTCTGTGGTGATATTTATTTATTTTCAAAAATAAGTAAATACCACCGCAGAAAATCATAGACCCTAGTTTTGATACATATCTGATATGGGGTGCCTCGTATTAAAAGGGCCCATTTTGACATATGCCTCATTTTGATAATCATTTGTTTTGATTTTCGGATCAATTTTCTGCGGTGATAAATTGCGTGACAAAATCTGTTTTCATAATTCCTGGGACACCTGATAATTTCGGCATAATCGGTATATAAAATAACCAGGTCCAATTTTTAATGGTGTAATAACTATGATATCTACATCACAAATTAAACTACATCGTTGGCCCGATTTCAAAAATTATCACCCATATTTAATTGATATTAAACATATTAATATCATATTTCATATTTACGTAATAAAGTTCTTGCTAAAACATGTTCAATAAAATTTTCATAATCAATAGTATTCATAGAACCTTCTTGAATACAACACAATAAAAGACCATTAATACACAATGCACCTTCTATGGTGAATCGTCTTCCTCGAACAAAAAATGCATTTTTTTGAGCTGAAAAACTCCAGCCATCGTGATAGCGTTCTTCTGTCATAAGCAGTTTCATCTAAAAAAGCTAACTCACTTGTTTTATACTGATATTCGTAAAATGAAATTGTTTCTATCAACCTCATTGATTTCTTTTGCGGGTTTTGAAATCTATAGAATAAAATTGTTATAAAATTTGTAAAATAAAAATATTTATAAATATACGAAATATTACCTTTTTGTGTGTGTATCCACGTCGGTATATGCCCAACCAAAGTTCCATCTCTGATTGTAATTCGTACAAGTATCAGTAAGGGTTTTCATTCATAAAGTTTAAGACATTTTATATCGTTCATGTTTTGAGAAAGTGGTTTCCTTGAAAGCGGCGAAAATTTTTCAATACAGCAATATCTTTGAAAATGCATAAACCCAACTTATAGAAAACCTAATAACACCTAAGTGTTTTGCAATATTTTGAATTGATAGGCCTTTTAAATTTTTTTCAATAATTTGCCAACGAATGTGTTTTGAAAGTGTCATATTTTTTGAATTCAACAAGAGATGTGCATAATTTTACTGTATTAGCCACCTGATTTTAAATTACGTATATTATAGTGCTATATCAATTTTTTATTGAATTTATGCCGAAATAATAAATTAACCGGATCAGCCGAAAAATCATTCGGTTAATTTTTTATCAGGTGTTATGAAAACAGCTGTAAAATTTTATGAACTCTGCGTAAATTCTGCGTTACTATTCATAAATTCTGTGTTGGTTGTAATAAGTTGATTGTTTATTCTTCGGATATTAAGCAAATTTTTTAACTCGGCCATGCTCGTATTTTAGGCTCATTTATTTTCTTCACTAAAATTTTCGGAAGCTATATATTTTTAGCTTTTTAGCATCATGTGTACTTATAAAAAAAATCATAAACCCTACTATTCTTGACGCATTCCGTGTTTAGGACCTGATTTCGTGATTTCTGCGGCATTCTCGGGATTACAGCTGTTTTCATAAATTCTGGGACAACTGATAAAAATTGATTAGCCGAATTCGATAAGTTCGATAAGTTTTTAAATTCGCCGAAATCAAATTCCGATGACACCGAATTCAAAAACTTATCGAATTTGGCAAAAATAATTTTTATCAGTTGTCCCGGAATTTATGAAAATAGCTATAATCAAATTTCACGATTTTGATTGGTTTAAAGTAACAGATGACTAACGTGATGTGCAAAATGGGCCCTTTTAATACGGGACACCCCATACTGTATGATCCGGATTTTTATTGGCTAATTTTCATGTGACAATTATAATACAACAAATTTGATACGCGTTTGTTTTGGGCATAACGGAAATTCGATTTTATTGGTTGTTTATTTCTATAGAAAAATACTATTGCACAACTTTTTATATTGTTTACAATAGAATTTTTTGAATTTTTGCAGATAATTAATTAGGGAAAAAGGTAACTACGAACAAAATTTATGGTAAAATTAAGAAAATAAGGTAGGTATAATAAAAAGACTAATTACTATTTTTATTGTAAGATTTTGTATTAGAAGAAATGTTACATCGTTAAAATGGGAACTGCTAAATTAGTTTGGTCAAAATCATCGAGCACTGATTATTGCCTTTGATTATACGTAGATGCCTAAATTATTTTGCTCTTGACGCAAATTTAAATGGCTAAATTAATTATATGCTAAGGCAATCCGGTATACAAGTATACACAGCATACGGGTATACACCAAAATATACATCGTCTTAAGGATGATATAAAAATAATACTAAATCAATTTTTTAGTGAATCTTTTTTATTTTGTAAATATAATGATATGAAAATTTTGGTGTTTTTTTTTAAAACATAAAATGTAATACAACGATGATTTCAACTGGCAGGTTTATCAAGATTTTTAAAAGAGATCACAACAACACGTTAATGTTATTTTTGAATGCCCCTTTAAATACAATAATATCGAGTCTATAATAATTTCAGCAGTCTATAATAACATTGGCAACCAAAAAAATGGCATTTTGAAACATCGTGCGAAAAAATTGAAAAAACAGTTTAGCTATAGCATCTACTATAAATTTAGACACCATGTATAATCTTTACTATTGCTTGCTGTTCCGAATCCTATTAGCATCATGGCCAATAACTTTCTAAGCAATAGTCTATGTGATGGTTGTCCGGAAAACAGTATGATGTCAGAACTATAAACAAAAATTACGTTGTTAAGCACCCAGAAAATGTGTACCAGGTTGGGTTCGGATTATGGTCCAGAAAAAGTCTTCGAATTTAGTGAAGTGCTGTAGACAAGATGTTAACTTACTTATCGATAGGTATTCGGAATTTTTCGTATCTTTTTTGAAATATTTAATGCCGGCTAATGATACGTTGAAAAACTTTAATAGACATTATACCTTATTAAATCTTCATTGATGAATTATTCATATGGGCTAATTTTTTCAGCTGGACCTTTTTTTTAGTCACTCAAATGATTAATTTTTTATTAGATATTAGACAGTCAATTGACATGTACGTTACTGAAAGGTACCCAAAATTAAAAATTACATATAAGGATTTGCGTCTAACCGATTACCCCACCCTTTAACCGATTACATTTTTCACTAATCAAATCAACAACAAATCGATTACTGTTACGTTTATTTATGCCGACATCGATATACGATATATTAGTCAAATAAAAATCTAACTACTACTGGTCGGCTAATACCCTTTAAATTTTAGGGTACAGAAAAAATTAGCCCAGATGTATAAATTATAGATTATAAATGCCAACCTAATTAAATGCCTTTTTTAGACAGCTAAGCATTGCTTATTTTCACATTTTAACATTATAGTTTTTAATTTGTGACTCATAAGCGGTATAGGTAGATTTGATATATTTATTGTTTATCTAAGTCCTAATGTAATTAACGAAATAACTGCTTACAATGTTAAAATACATACTTGAACAAATTTTGGTTCACTTTTTTTTTTTTTTTTTGCAAAAGAAAAATAAAAATAACCGAAGATATTAAAATTTACATAATGATCAATTAATGTAATATTAATATTTATTAACTACGTACTGTTAGCCGGGGAGACTAAACTAAAGTAAGGGATTAAAACTAAACTAAAAATACTAAAAACTAACACACAACAACAATCAAGACAACGTGTCGAAAGAGGCGTTTAGATTTTGGCGGTGGAGTGGTTCTAAGGCTTCGGTTGTCCTTCGCACAATATCATGTGACAGTCGACGTTGAGACAATAACTAACCTTCCGGAACCAACCCGCAAGGAAATCACGTATCCACAACCCTTAGGGATACAACACAATAATTCCAACGGCACTGGAGTAAGTTAGTCCAACGAAACAAAAGATTTTGCCTTACTGGAGGTAAAATCAGGCAGCGTAACGATATAGTTTTATTGAAGAAACAAATCAACGAAGATCCTCTTTTAATTATAGGATCGGGTTAGGGAATTAGCGAATTTATTATCAATATAATATAGATAATTCAATGAATTCTTATTTGTATCGATTGAACGATATTTTTCCAACTGGGCAAAAGGCCCTTTATTTATAGATAAATTTTACATTCATTTCTAATTAATTTTCGACGAAATTTTGTTTTTAAAAAATTAAGTAAAATTTCAATTACTATTCTTTGGCAAGATCCATTTTCGTTCAAACGAAGGTATTATTCATGTATGTCTAACTATTTTTCATTTCTTGTTGAAGAAGAAAAATTAGTTTTTAAAAAATTGTATAAAACTTCAATTCCTATTCTTTGGCAAGATCCATTTTCGTTCAAACGAAGGCATTATTCATTTCTAACTATTTTTCATTTCTTGTTGAAGAAGAAAAATTCGGTTTTAAAAATTAAACTAAATTTCGATCCTATTCTTTTCAAGATCCATTTTGTTCAAACGAAGACATTTATTTATTCATTTCTAATTATTTTTTGTTTCTTGTCGAAGACGAAAAATTCGGTATTAAAAAATTAAACTAAATTTCGATTCCTAATCTTTTGGAAAGATCCATACGAAAGCATTATTTATTTCTAATTATTTTGCCGAAGACGAAAAATATATATGAATAAATATAAACTTAAATTTTTTATTTTGATTTAGTTTATCATAATTCTTATAACCAGTCGACAAATTCATGATCATATTTAACTTTTTTAATAGCGGCACCTGTTCGAGTAATATATTTATTATAAA